TTTCTCCTAGTATACTCACCTGAATTAAAAGAAGGTGTATGATTTGGGAGAAGCTGTCTGTGGGTGGGAATCCAAAGTATTAATGGGAAGGCTTTCACAATAACATTGTATGAATTTGGAAGAAACCTTTTACAAATGTTACTTAATCCATTCTATTGTGCTCATAGAAGATTTCCCACTGTCTGTTGCCATACATATAGTGGTGGGATTCAGCCATTTCACACCATTTCGGCAGAACCAGTAGCTAATTTTTTGTTGCCCAGGTCCAGAAAGGACTTCCGGAAGCGGCATCCATACAGAGAACCGGTTGTTCATATATTTGAATCCCACCACTGCATACGTAGCAGACTAACCTCCCAATCCAGGAAATTCTATGATTTCCCTAAATTAAAAATGGGTAACTTTCATCTAATTTCCTGAAGTTTCCCAGTGTTGCCCAAGTTGTCAACATTCAACAGCCAGCTCCTGAATAAAAGCGATGTAATTTTCTGCATTTGCAGAGAGGGGGGCAAAAAAAGAAGTAAAAGAGACTGTTGGTCTTTGTTGATAAAGAATAATTTTAACAGATTATATTTCCTCCTTGCACGGCAAAACAAAATCGAATTACATTCTTAAGACCAAAGGTCTCCTGAAAACACACATTTGCATTTTTTAAACTTGTACATACTTAAAATACTATTTTGTTCGAGGCTCCCTGAACATCTTTATAGAGTGCATAGCTTCAGGTCTTGAAACTGAAAGACAGGCCATAATATTCTGTATTTCACCTGAATATGATTTTCTTTTCTCCTTGTCCTTATTTTACTTCTAAGGAGAAGGAGGAGAAGGAAAGTTCTGCAAAACACAGAAATGTTTTTAACGATCAAGCAGGGTGGAAAAACAGTTCAGGGAGAGAATGAAGGAAAAGAAACAAACATGCCAGTAAAGCTGAGGAAAGGTGGCTTTGCTTTCTTTTCTTTTTTGTTCCTGCTATAGCTGGATGGAATTTCTTCCTTGCCCTACAGTGGAGAAACCTGTTGCTCCACATATTATAATTCATTCAACCATTATAATTCCCAGCATCAATCACTATTGCCCATGTTAGCCGAGGCTGTTGGAGGTTAGTTTGACAGCACTGGAGAGGGCAGGTATGCTCAAATTTCTTCCCTGATTGCATCTTAAATCATGCTAAAAGAAAACCTAGAGGAGACTAGGGTTATCAGATATCTGGAGGACATGAACAATTGGAAATAAGAACAAATGGAGAGGAAAAAAGGGCTTTTCAATTTTAATAATAATAATAATAATAATAATAATAATAATAATAATAATAATAATAATAATAATAATAATAATAATAATAATAATAAAAGTTGGAAGGGACCTTGGAGGTCATCTAGTCCAACCCCCTGCTCAGGCAGGAAACCCTATACCATTTCGGACAAATGGCTGTCCAGTTTCTTCTTTAAAACTTCCAGTGTTGGAGCATTCACCGCTTCTGGAGGCAGGTTGTTCCACTGGTTAATTGTTCTAACTGCCAGGAAGTTTCTCCTTAGTTCTAGGTTGCTTCTCTCTTTGGTTAGTTTCCATCCGTTTCTTCTTGTCCTGCCTTCAGGCGCCTTGGAAAATAGCTTGACACCCTCTTCTTTGTGGCAGCCCCTGAGATATTGGAACACTGCTATCATGTCCCCCTTCGTCCTTCTCTTCGTTAAACTAGACATACCCAATTCCAGCAACCCTTCCTTATATGTTATTTTCTGGGTATCTGCAATAAAAATTACAGCAAAACAGTTATTTAGGCCTCCATGTATATAAAATTACTTTTTTTCCAGCAGCAGAAAGACCAGTTTTTCAATTGTAATATTTTTCTAACCAATCTTAATTTTCAACAACATTATTGTCTAGTGATAATTTAGAACCGACAACACATTTTCAAATTTCACCATAGAAATGTATGGATTGGTCATGAGATCTGCTGACTACAAGTGATCATAGATTTGAAGAGGCTGGATTGAAGCCAATTGAAGAAATCAGTGAACAAATAATGTAAACGTAGGCTGCCAAGTCTGTTAACAGACAAGGCAAACCAAGAAACAAACAATGTACATGGTTAAAATACATCAAATTTTGAATGACTACTATTGTGAAAACAAATGTTTAAAAAACCCGAGATACTCAGAAAGCTAGACAATATTTGATTTTAAGGCTATGCCTGATGGATTGAGGACAATAAGGAAGATATGCTCTCCTTTTGGCAGACTTCTGGAAACCCTAGGTCCTCTAGCTGGGCTAGCTTTTTGCAATGATTAATTGATGAGGTAATGTCTCTATTACCAACAGATCCCAAAGGCCCTTTGAGCTAGATAGCTTTTATATTACTGTCAAAAGGCATGTGGATAACATAGGTGCTGTATGAAGGCCTTGATCCAGGTTTTAAAAGCCCTCAATTCAAATGTTTGAGAGGTCTCTTCCAAGGCAGCAAGATATGCAGTGAGACAGAAGCAAAAGGTAGAGGTGGTATGACCCCATTTTGAATTTAGTTCAACCTATATTAGCTTTGGACTTACTCACACAGGGCCTTTTCTAACAGATGACCTATGAGGGAAGGAGAGTACTGACAGATTAAAAATTCTTTATTCTGGCATGAGTTTGCTACCCAGGAACAAAGCCCCAATTTCTGTGCATATTTAGTTCAGATAAACTCATCAAAGAAGATCCAAAATATGTTCATGATATTGCTAACACTCTGTTGAAATTTACAAAACCATGTGGATAACATTTTAAATAACTTTCTATAGCATTTAGAACTACTAGATTTTGAGCTAAAATTTTTATAGGTATATAATTATCTCAAATTAAGTATTAGTTCTTAATACTTAATTAGTTCTTAAGTGAGTGGATAGAAGGAAAACTCATCAAATTTGCAGATGACACCAAGCTGGCAGGAATAGCCAACATTGCATAACAAAGGCTCAAGATCCAAAAGGATCTGGACAGACTTGAACACTGGGCCCTATCTAATAAAATGAAATTCAGTGGTGAGAAAAGTAAGGTTTTACATTTAGGCAAGAAAAACCAAATGCACAGATACAGAATAGGTGGAACCTGACTCTAGCAGTAACTGCGAGAGGGCTCTAGGAGTCCTAGTGAACAAGCACTTAAATATGAGCCAACAATATGCTGCAGCCCCCCCCCCCCAGCCAAAAAAGTCAATGCAGTTCTTGGCTGCATTAACGGGTATAAAATCAAGATCATGTGACGTGCTGGTACCACTGTATAATGTCTTGGTAAGACCAGACTTGGAATATTGCATCCAGTTTTGGTCACCACAATATAAAAAAAATGTTGAGACTCTAGAAAGAGTGCAGGGAAGAGCAACTAAGATGATTAGGGGGCTGGAGGTTAAAGCATATGAAGAACGATTGCAGGAATTGGGTATGTCTAGTGAAAAGGACTAGGAGTGACATGATAGCAGTCTACCAATATTTGAAGGGCTGCCACAAAGAAGAGTGTGTCAACCTATCCAAAGGCAGGACAAGAAGCAATCGATGGAAACTAATCAAAGAGAGAAGCAACCTAGAACTAAGGATAAACTTCCTGACAATCAGAACAATTAAGCAGTGGAACCACCTGCCTCCAGAAGTTGTGGGTGCTCCATCACTGGAGGCTTTTAAGAAGAGATTGGACAGCCATTTATCTGAAATGGTATAGAATCTCCTGCTTGAGAGAGAGGCTGGACTGGAAGACCTTCCAACTCTGTTATTCTGTTCTGTTATTCTGTTATTTTTTCTATGAACATGTGTATCGATCCCATCAATTCCAAAGAAAGACTGGAATGATATAGGATCTCCTGCCATGGCAAGGAGTTGAACTAGATCTCCAAGGTCCCTTCCAGTCCTATTTGTTCTTTGTTCTCTCCTTCCTAGGGACAAGAATTGAAGTTACTCTACAATTAATAGAAGCTATATTTTAAAATTGCAGTCCATCAAAATTATAGCTTCCACTCATGTAGTCACATTTTTAGGAAAGAAATAACCTACGCCTAATACTGCCTTTTATTTTTTCTATAATCCTCTTTCAAAAAGTGGTACAAAACTAAAACAGTATTTCTGTGGACTTTTAAAAATCATATGTACATGATACACAAGACCATTGAGGCTACAATAATAACTGGAACATAAAGGAATAAGAGAATAAGACTTTGTTCTAAGAATATCAGAACACAGAAGATGGCCATCTACTTGAAGGGCTTCCAGTCCAAGTCTGATTTTAAATCTAAAGCCCTCCCAGAAAAGTGGCTTAAAATGGGCCATTCAGCACCCAGAGAAGATACTGCAATCACCATCTTTTGTGTTGTGGTGAAATATATTGCATTCATATTATTTCTGAAGTTGTACCTGTACATGTTAATTTCCCGGCTGCCCTGCCTATCAGCTGGTATTCCTGGGTGGTATTCATGTCTTTTGGGGCTAGAGGCCTAGCATTACTTTTACTATTAGAGCAGCCTCTCTCAACAGTAGTAACTTTCAGTTGTGTGGACCAACTCCATGAATTCCCTAGCCAGCATGCTGAATGTATGGATTCTGGGAATTGAAGTCCACACATCTTAAAATTGAGAGAAACACTGATGTTTATGTATGACATATAAACACATATACACACACTGATGGCAATCCACATATACCAAATGGGTGTTCTGTTTATTATGAATCACAATAACAAAACATGGGCAAAAATTAGAGCGGAAGCAGCATTTTTAACTTTGGCATCAACTTAACCTCCATTTCCCAGGCTAAAGTGTTCTCTCTTTGCCCAGGAAGAACATGGCTCTCATCCTAGCTTCGCCTGCCAGTACCTTTGACGTCATCCCTCCCGGCTCCCAATCTCTCCCTACCGCTATTACTCTCCCCCTTCACGCTCTCCGCCCCTCCCTCTAAGGCTGCTCCAGATAAAGTCCCCCCCCCACCGGCCCCAACCTCCCCTGCGCTCTGCTGCGTCGCCCTCGCTTTCCCCAAGCAAAGATGGAAGTCGTCAATCAGGTAAGCGCTGAGGATTTCAACACTGGGAACAGCTCCCCATAGCCTTCTTAGCCTGCACCCCCACATTGAGATGTTGATCACCTAAACTGGCTCCCACCCTTTCAATGGCCGCTTCCCCGCTTTAATCCCATCCTGCCTGGATTGAGATTGATTCTAAACACAGCAAGAAGATGCGCCGGGTGCAGCACCATCTGCGCGGTGCAGCGAGACAAGAGCCTCCGTGTTGGAGGAATGGGGTCGGAGTGGGAGCACGTTTAGTTAGGTGAGCAATCTCCCAAAGTGGGGATGCAGACTAATAGAGCCGGGGGGAGTTCACGTTACCCACTGCAGCAATTTGCAGGAGCTGCATTGAGCCCATCCTGGGTGGAAGGGAGGGGAGAGGAGAGGAAGCTGTGAAATTGCTGCAGTGAGGCAGCTGGAAATGAGAAATGAGGTTTCTGGAGAAGGCAGGTGCCAAAGCAGATTCAAGAGGATATAGGTAATTAAAGATAGATAGATAGATAGATAGATAGATAGATAGATAGATAGATAGATAGATAGATAGATAGATAGATAGATAGATAGATAGATAGATAGATAGATAGATAGATAATGGATGGATGGATGGATGGATGGATGGATGGATGGATGGATAAATGGATGGATGGATGACAGAGATTTCTGTTGGGAGAAATGGATGTCATGCATATTCCCCCCCCTCCCTGCAACCTTTCCCACTTATAACTTGATACAGAAGCTCTAGATTGTAGCTGACAGACCTAGGTAATGTAGAGGCACTGCAGCGGTCTGCCTGCTGTCACTGCAGCAGACTGGGGAGGAAGTGTGGGTGAGAAGGAAGAGCCGCCAAAATGGCTGGAGTGATGCAATAAAGCTGCGCAATATAAAATAGGCTCCTAGGCTGTATTTAGGGAGCTAAAGGGCAGGGGAGAAGTGAGGGATCTTTGGGGGAGGAAAGAGAAAGCACCACAACAGTAAACAGACGGGGGGGGGGGGGCGGTCGTGATGGCAATCAATATCACTGCACTGAGGCTGGTTGGCAATCCGGTGCATGCAGAAAGTGTCTGCAAGTACTGAAGAGGTGGGTGGGCTTAGTCGCAATATCATAACTGGGAATTGGAGAAAGAGGATTGGCAGAGTTGGAGCTGGGCATGTAAAAATTGGGCAAGGTGATTGCAGGGAAGAGAAAAACAGTTTAACTGGATAATACAGAACTCAGATGCTTAATTCTCTTCTCCTTGGAATTCTACCGAATGAGTGAATGAATAAATAATGGTGCTTCCTATTAAAAGGAGGGTGGCCAGGCAGGCAATGTAAGTGAACATGGAGGGCAAAAGGGGCAGCCCTTCCCTCTTTGTGGGGTGCAGCAGATGATGGATGGAAGGGGTGTCTGCATGGCTGCGGAATAACCCCAAGCCAGAGAAAGGAGGAGGGAGAAGAAGAGCGAGGAAGGGGGGGGGGCATCAGATGAGATTTTATTTGATTGTATTTTGAGTGGAGAGAGATGTCAGTAGGCAAAATGGGTTGGTTGGAGAGAGGTAGTTAGAGATGCTAGACCAGAGGAAATGGAGAGCAGGCAAAATAAGATTTGTCTCTTAGGGGCAGTTTCTAATTCCTGTTCCCTAGAGCAACTGCAGCAAGATGCACCAGGCGGAGGGGACGATTTGCAAGAGGAAGTGATTTTCCCCCTTGGGAATGAAGGTGGCTTCTAATTTTCTGTCCTGATGGAGGAGCTTCAGTGAAGCAACATTGTTGCACAGGCTGTGGGATTCATATTTCAATGCAGTGGGAGTATTTTTTGAGGACTGACATGAATTTTGTATTTTTTTTTCCTTTTTGGATGAAGTATCACTGGAGACCTGAAGTATCTTGAGGGCAGAGTTCCTTAAACAGATCAGAAAGATGGAAGGGAGAAATATAGATTTTCTTACATGGAATTTTCAGTTGTTCTTTGCATAAGAAGAAGCATTAAGAGAGCAGCCGGTCCACGTTAAAGTGTAGTCTGCCAGCCAGTGGAAAAACATCCCATAGTTTGCTGTCCCAATGGCCAAGCCCTGTTCAGTCTCACTCAAAAGGCTCATGGATGTCCTTACCGTTTTTATGCAGGACAAGATAAGGAAAGTGATTGATGGATTCTCCGGCTTACATTTCCCGTTCTCACTGGGACCACCTGCTAGCAGGAAACCCAGCCACTTACTAATTGTTCTCAGCATAACTGAATTAGTATAGATGGGGTCCTTTGAATGGCAGGTTTAGTCAGCTGCCTATATTAGGTCAGGTACTCTTGTGTCTGTACCTGTCAGTCAGGCTATTTCTGAAGACACATCTAGTGCTCTTTCAAAAGAGCATTAGACCTGTACATATAAAGACCCTGCCTGAGACTGATAAGAACCTCAGAAAGTGCTGGCCAAGAATTAGGCAAGCAAATGCCTCTGCAGCAGCGACATCTCTAGTGTCTCCTACAGCCCAAACTGAAATGGCAACACTGAGCGGCATTCAGTGATGGGGGTGGTGGCAGTGGTGCTCGCAGCAGTTCAAAATGGGTAGGAACTGGGCACATCACCAGCTTCCTATTGATCAAATGTGCTAGGTTGTGTCCATGGCAAAAATTATGGTGGGACAAGAAGGAAAACACAATGTTAAATTTCAAACTGCTGAGGTTGACTTTAGGTTGCCTCTGCTGTGAGCTGGAAGCGAGACAAAGACAGTGGCATGGGAAAGGCTAGGAGGGCACATTAGTTTCCGGGTTAGGGGGATATGAGGAAGAGCCTTAAGGCTCTTGAAGAGGGAAAGGTAGACTTGGGGATATTCCAGAGAAGATTGTCGCATTACATTTCTTCCTGCTCAGTTGTAAGGTGAGATTATTTAAAAGTAAGTCCCCTTGGGTTATAAGGAAGCTTAGGACTGCAGACTCACTCAGTCCTTGTTTCTTCCCTTGGATCTTACAGGAAGAAGGGGGAAAAACCATGATTAAAAATATGAGAGGGCTTCTGGTGATGATGTTTCCATCCAACCTCAATGGGTGTTTGATCAACAAATGGACACTTATTTAGCTTTTGTGAGCTTCAGGACAAAATATATTTGATTCTGTTGGTTTTTAACACTTTCTCTCTTTTTCAGTTGAATGTAATGTCTGTATATTTTATACATTTTATATTTTTTAGGTGTGGAGCTGTCCATTTTCTTCTAGAACAAATCAAATTATAAATGCAAATCAGTCAACTTCCTCAGAGGGGGGGATGTTGTTGCTGCTACCAACGCTTTTGAACATCCTGGCTTTTTCAGTGCTGATAAGTGAATTATCTCGAGGCATGTTTTCATGCAAGGCAGGAGATGCTGGGAAACAGAATTAGTGCAAACTGCTTGTGAACAGGATAAGAGATTTTGCTGTATTGCTTGCAAGACAGTTCAGCTGTTGGATGGTGTGCATAGGCAGTGGTATCACATTGCCTCTGTGGGGCTATACAAGCCAGAGATGTGTGTGTGTCATAAGAGAGCAGGGCTTTCCGTTGTACATCAGTGCAAGATGGACAAATGTGGGACAAAAAGGATGTGGGATCATCTAGAATGGTGGAAAACTGTGGAGTGGTTTGCAGGCAGTACAGTACAGTACAGGCAGATGTACCTACTCATAGATGTGTACGAAGGAAGGATCTGTGTCGCTGATGCGCCTTGGGCAGCCCTGTGTCAGAGTGCACCAGTGAATATAATGACTATCATACCAGTCTGTGATCATAAGACATATTTTGGCATATATCATGAAACCAAGGACACCATGGGGATAACAACATCTAGTGTATTAACTTTACTGAGCTAATCTATATGATTAGCTATACGAAGCAGCTTTGATTCTTAAAAATGCTACATAATATTTATATATAGATGGGAGATTTCAGCCTTCAGAAAACTGCAGCATTCATGTGCACAACACATGAGAGATGTATGAGCCTTTTAAGGTGTCTGATACATTTTTCCTTTGTCAAGTTTGCTGCCTGTAGTATAGGAACAGATGTATCTAAGAAAAGCCATGTTAGATCGCCTTTGACCTCTTTCTAGAACAGTCTCTTTTGCCTTCCAGAACATTGGTAGAAGTCTCAAACAGCTTTCCCTGACCTGATGCAATCCCAAACCTATCCAACGCTGAGAATAAGTTAGCCCTCACTTCCCTGAGAAGGTGCTTTGTGAGGAAGAGGGCCATCACAATCAACTGCAATATCTCCCCTGGTTTGGCATTTGGGGGTCATGACAGGCCTTCATTACTGAATGTGCTTCTTTCAGTTATCTCCATTAAGATACTCTAGCAATTTTGGGGGGGGGGGGATTTCTAAGTTATATTTGCTGTGAACAGTGTTGAAATATTTTTCCTTCTCTTCACTATCCCTCCTGCTATGGTTTTATCAGCTCTCATTATGTTTTAGAATTGCTTTTTTGCTGAAAACATATTTGAGCCAACACATTTTTTAAGAGCAAAAGAGCAGCCCAGATAATTAAACAAAAATGCCATTTAACTTACCCTATGTAAATCACATTATATAGGATTGGTTGAGTATTGGTTACAAGGGGAGCTAAAGTAAATCCAATTAGAACTTTCTTCCACTTGGCATCCTCTGGATGTGTCGGGACTGGAACTGCAAGGATTCCCAGGATTCTTGGAGTTTACTTCTAACATATCCAGAAAATGTCTTGTCGAGGAAGCCTGACTTAGCTGGACACTTTCGAAAGACACTCTGTGCCATTTCTCTGTATGATTCCAAGGTTATTCTCTTTTGTTGTAGCAGTTAGAAAAAAAACAAACTGAATAAATGATTCTGAGAAGTCTGGCAGAGAGCCTCCAAGTACAGCTTCTGTTCTTTAGCATGTTTGCTTTGCTTGAACATGTTTGGTGGACCCCAACCGATCTAAGCAGTGGGGAGGGGGGAAAAAAAACTTCGCTTCTCTGAATGAGACAAATGGAGACCGGACAAAGGCTGGAGCTTCATGGCCATACCTATCCTTGGTACTCATTAGATTCCAGATTCACCTTCGGCTTATTCAGCTGAAAGATGTCAAAGGCCTGTGACCTTGGACCAGTACAGGTTTCTGCTTAACGCAGCATCTTAGATGCATACATTCCACAGGTTTCTAAACCAAATTTCCTTTCTCTTTTCACAGCTTGTGGCGGTTGGACAGTTCCGGATCTTCAAGGAGCCCCTGGGTTTTGTAAAGTTGCTAGAATGGGTGAGTCCACTATACCAGCACCCTTACAAGTCAAGAGGAGTCTGTTTAACTCCTGCCTTCATCCTGCTTAGAATTAAGACAGATGCTCCAAAGGACAGTGTTTGCTTGTTCCTTCTCCCAAAGTTGCATCTACCTTTTAAAGGTGGAGAAGGTTTGTCTTCTTTGGCATCTGGCCAGTTATATTCTGCTCCTGAGCCCTGGCTGAGCTCCAGCTGCATGTGAAGTCAGGACTAGGGCCGAGAGAGAAGCTCCTGAGTGCTATTCCCAGCAGGATTTTACTGCTTACCATTGGATGGTTTCACATGTAGATGAAGTGTCTCACTGCCCCCTGTGCTATCTCCAGAATTACTGGGGTGGCCAACCATTCCTAGCCTAGACCTTACAACAATGGGTTGGGACACAGCCTGTTTGCTGAAGCATTGAACCAGGTCAGGCAGGCCATTCTTCCAATCAGCTGGAAATTCTCCCCATTACAACCACTGTGACCATAGCAACTTAGCAGCATGGAGGACAGGGAAACAGGGAGAAAGTGTTATGATACTGTAGTGCTGGGATTTGCTAATGATGACGCCAACATCAGAAGGAATGGTGCAAAAGAGAGACTCCCCCCCCTACTCCAATAGTAAACTGGCCAAGAAGGATATTCTGTCAGGAACAGAGAAGTCCAAGCTACATTCAACCTGAGAGGCCATATGCACTTTCTGAGGCAGTAACCTATCTATCTATCTATCTATCTATCTATCTATCTATCTATCTATCTATCTATCTATCTATCTATCTATCTATCTATCTATCTATCTCTATCTCTATCTCTGTCTGTTTGTCTGTCTGTCTGTCTCTTCTATCTATCATCTAATTTAAATGTATTCTGGCAACTAGATATTTGAGAAAGTTAGTAAGATAAAATAGATGGGCCAACCTGCACGGAGAGTTTCTCACACAACGCTCATGGAAATAAATATCACACAGCAGTTAAGAACTTACTGACCTTGAGTTCTTGCTGAATTAAGTGTTTTCGTAGATGATGATACAGTATTAAAATGTGCTGTGCAGGTGCCATCATGTCACCTGTTACAGAAACTAGAGAAAATGCTTGAAACTATGGCTGCTGACTAAAAGGTTGAATCTACAACTTTCCTATCCTGTCCACCTATTTGACCATTGCTTCCCAAATAAATTCTCATACACAGTTAAGCCAAACTGAAACTAGTTACTACTTGGAAAAGAGGCCAGACTGAAACTATTTACTACTTGGAAAAGAAATCTAAAAAAGGGCAATGCAAACCACTTCCATTTTGCTGCCAAGAAAACTGTACAGTGTGGATATGGCTATGCAGACATCAGGAATTGAACACCACTTGAGGAAGCTTTTCCAATTGTTTCCCAGTCATAGTCTGATACTCTATTACAGTGATGGCGAACCTTTTAGAGACCGAGTGCCCAAAAACTGGCCCTGCCCCGCTCCCACTCTGCCCTCACCCTGCTTGCCCGCAGAGCCACTCACCGCCTCCAGGGCCCGCCGCAGATCGCCCAGCAGCGCCATGGCAGCCACGCCCTCTGCCCGCGCCCCGCAGCATCAACTGTGCACGATGGGGCATGAGGGCAGAGTCTTGTCTACTCTGTCTGGCTGCACTGCTCCATGTGGGCCACGCTCGGGGGCGACTCTCCTCCAGGGGCCCTGCTGGTGAGGGGGTCGCGGGGGGAGGCAAGGCTGGGGCAACGGCACGTGTGCCCACAGAGAGAGCTCCGAGTGCCGCCTGTGGCACCCGTGCTATAGGTTCTCCACTACTGCTCTATTATATCACTTTAGACCTCATTACAAATCCACAGTTACCCGAATGAATGCATATTAAGCAGTAATCATAAGAGCCAGGGTTATATAGCAGTTAAAATGGTGGGATTGGAGAGACGCAGGTCTAGTCTAACTTCAGGCAAAGAACCTCCTTGATTGACTTCAGGTCACTTTCTCTCACAGAGTTGTTGTTAGGAGGAGAAATGGGAGAAGATCATATATATACCACCTTGCAGAAAAGTAGATGTAACTATAACAAATGAATAAATGTCAACATGGCATAAATCTGAGAGTCAACTGGAGTTGGAAAAAGTAATGCTGTACATTAGAAGTTGAAGTGACGATTCTGGACCATAATAATTAAAACAGAATACAGAGAATAATATCCAAACATATAGGCAAACAAGCCAGTAGTTTCAAACATCTTTTTGGCCATAATGATGGGAACACCAGTTTTTCCTTTCACTCAATTCTGTTGTAAGAAGCAGCAAGTATTTTAGACCACACACAATGAAATCTAAAATCAAAACAGCCTTTAGAAAAATCAGGAGCAATCAGGGAGCTTTGGAGCTTGAGATGGAAAATTCTGGTGCTTCCCTTAATTAACTGAGAGCACACTCTATAGGGAATCCTCCTGTTTTATTGCTATGTTGATAGCTATATTAGAACACAATAAGAACTGGAATGAGTACAGGAACATTGGTTGGTGCCCAGAATAACTATCTTCTCTATATCTCTCTGTGCCTCTGAAATCTGGTAAATGGGGTTTAGGCCTCGTTAGTATTCAAATTAGAAAGCTCGAGGAATGCCCAGGGCAGCAGGCTAGAGTGAAAAATTAAAACATTCTGTAAGCAGCACCAATTCACTTCTGTATTGCTGCCTCCAGTCACAATGAGCCAATTTGATTTGGAGAAGAACTTATCTTTTTATTTTATGCTACTGTATGGTATCATCACAAGTTATTAAATCAAAATATCAGTGAAAACTAACACTGAAGTAAGTCCAGCTGAAATTCAGAGTTACAGCCTTTATCTGAAATATTAAGACAGTCCAGTTATTTTTTTTTGTAAAGTATAGGTTGACCACCAAGAATGTAGCGTAACACTTAATACTCAGTTAAACAAAACACACACAAAATAAAAAAATAATATCCAGTTTAAAAAAATCTGAGTTTGGATGATTGAAGAGAAAGGAAGGACAAAAAAGAGTGTTCTAGATAGATAAAGGGGCAAGGGGAGAGTCAAAATGAGGAGCTTTAGAATCTCCCCTCCATCATACATGGGCTGTACTATCTCAGATAACCATTGGATGGCAGCCAAGAGTTAAACTTCTTATGCTCTCATTGCTGTCATCTAATGACCGAGTAGATCTTTGCAGCTCAGGTATCGGTGGTTTATTTTTCACCTTCCTCTCCCCTGAAACCCCAGTAGCTAAGTACATTAAAATAGCTTTCTCCCTACTGCCTTCTCAATAAATTAGGCTACAGTTCTCATAGTGCCTGGCACTTATGGGCATTGTGTTCCAATATATCTGGAGAGCTCCAGGCTGATGAAAATTGCTTTGTATAATTATTTTGGCATTAAACTTAACCTAATTATTTCAATTCCTGTGCAAGAACATACCCATTATGAACATTTTTTTTGGTACCATCAATAACTCACACACACAAAATGGAAAATTTATGAACAAAATTTTGAACAGGGAAGCCATTGAGTGATTCTTCACCATACCAAAACTGAAAGCAACCACTTTATGCCTTGGAGTTTTTCCTCCTAATGAAAATAAATTCAAAAAAACCCCTACAGAAAGTGGCACTTTATCCCTGCTATTGTTAACATTTCTGCTCACACATGCTGATTAAAACAAAGAGGAGAAAGAGAAGACTGGAAGGAAAATCTGAATGCTGTTTGTTTAATAGGAACCTAAGTGAATAATAGGATGGGACATAGTTGCCAATATAAGATCCTTGTGATTGAGTCCATCCTGGATTTTGAAAGCTGAAAGATATGATCCCAAATGACCTTGGGATATCATTTCCTGGGAAATTATGGAAGTCAAATATTCCCTACTGGGTAGAGCAGAGGTCAGGAATGGTGGATCCAAAGGGCCACTGTTCCCCACCCCTGGGGTAGAGCAAGGATTCCAGCCTTTGGGGCCAATGGATATGTTTGGATATGCAGGTATTTTTGGAACAATGGTTACCATGGGAGATATGGCCAGATCCAAACACTTGTATCTACTAAAAATCAAATGAAGAACTTGCCTGCAGCCCTACTCACCATCCCATTTTCTAAGAACGCCTCTGACATTGAAAATACAGCTTATGCTTAAGGCATGCTTTGCTCTGCAAAATACAGGCTTCCTATTTTGAAAAAAAAAGGTAATGGATTTTTTTAAAAAAAATAAAATAAAAAATAAGGTTAAATGTAATAACTTGTTGGCCTCAGAGAAATACGTTGTGCAGACTGTTGCCTCCTGGACATCTTACGGAACGTGTAGTAAATAGACACAGGGATGGATCAGGACTAAACCCTTCCCTAGCCTGCAGCATACCAAGGCCTCAAAGCCGGTTTCCTCTGGTTGTTCTTTCTTAGATGCATATCCTGGCCTCAGAGGCTTTAAATAAATCCTAAATCCCTTTATCTGTCAGGTTCACCCGCACTTCTTAATCCACTTTTTATTATGTATTTTGCAAAGACTAGTCTGGAAGTACATTTGCCCTGTGATTTGTGAAGTGCTCTGAAGTCCTGCCTCTGGAGACCCCAGCAGATTTCCTTCTGTATCTCCAGAGCTTTCCACAGAGAAGGAGATCAGCCTTTGGAACAGATTTGTTCTCCGATCAAAAAGGCTCTATTTTGTTTCCTTGCTTCGCTATTTTGCACCGGTGCACCCCACATTTTCCTAGGTAAAGCTTTCCACAGCACTTACAAACTCAGGAGTTGTGGGTCTTGACTGTGACTACCAAGCTGTTTTTCCTAGCCAGCCTCACAGTTGTTTGTAGTGGGGCGTATTGGAGAAAAAGGTTGACATTACTACTTTCAAATGGCACAGTCTTCCAAAATTTGAATTGTCAGCTTAGTTGAAACCATCCCCAAGTTAGTGAACTTGAACTACCTCGATACATGAGCTTCACACCAAACCATGCAAATAGCTTAGAAACCCAGGGGTGCACACCTGCAGACAAAAAAAAGACGAGCATTATCTGCATTATCGTGGACCAGTTTGTCCTCATTTGTATTTATTTGTCTATGGGACCTCCAGTAAACTCATTGTGTCGCAAGGGCTCTTCTGCCCTATCGGTATTCCAAGGGCAGCATGTTATTCCCCAGCACAAAACCATCTGAGGGAAGGGAAGGGGGGGGATTTCAAGTCAGATTAATGAGAATTGCGCCCATTCAATAGACACCGAATGCCATACAATGGAATGGAGAATCCAGGAGAAACAACCGCAGCCAGCTGGCTGGAACCCTGAATAGCATGCTGTTCCTTTTTATTGCAGTTCTCCCTTGCCCTCTGCCTTTGGACACCCATTTCATTAAAGGGATTTAAGCTCCTCACAATCTAATTCATAGCGGCATAATTTAAAAGCCTTCCAGTAGCAATCAATGTATAGCAGGTCTTTAAAGCAGGCATCTCTGCTGGCTCTTCTGCTCTGTGGGCTGAGCCCAGGCAGGGAATGGTGACTCCCTGGGTGGTAGACAGCAAAGTGGGTCAGGGCTGGGTTAATATCTGGTCCCTCCCTGATTAGATGCTGGGAGGAAGAGATTAAGAGAGGGATAAGGCAAGCTCTCTCCTACCCTCATTCTCCAGCTCTTCCTATGGCAAATTTTGCTCTAAAAATATCTATGACCACACGGCAATTTCTCAGCTGATCCATGATGACAGTAAACCAAATGCCTCCTGCCACCAACACTCCCCCCACCCCATCCTGAGCAAAGGCTAAGATGATCCCTTCATTTGCTGGTTTTCTTCCTAGAGTGCCCCCTGCTGGCTCAAGTGAGCCCAATAGCATTTACATTTCTCTCTCCCCCCCCCCCGCCCTCCGTCTGCCTTATTGCTGGGGAAGACTGAAATAGCCCTGTGACTCATATAGGTGCAGGCACTGCTCATTATCGAGAAGTTGCCTTGCTAGAAATGGAGATGCGTTGGCATCAGCCGAGAGAAAGGGCCACATATGAGAAAAGATGTGTTTTGTAGAGAGGTAGGATCTTTTGAAGCCGCATTGGGGTCATAAAGCTTTTCAAAAATATATTTCCACAAAAGTGGCACAAGGTTCAGGAGAGTACGGTCTCGCATGCCTCAATTCAAACGTACTTCAAATTGGCTTAGAGAAATGGGTGCTTAATGCCTACTAATTTTCTTTTCAAGTCCCTAGTTCTCATTGAGGTAGGAAATCTGCAACTGGCTTGTACCTTTTACAACTGGGTAGTGTCATATTAGGCCACTCCTGTACACCAAAAACTCTCATATGTTTAGCAGCGGAAGCTGTATAACAAAGGATGAAAAAAAATGGGGTGATATTAAACTCTTCTGAATTCTACAAACTCCACCCTTGGCTTATGATTCATTTCTAATCATGTAAAAACTTATAACTAGCTTAACATGTATTTCTTCACTCTGAACCTGGGAATCCCCATGTTTAGAGTGGAGGTGGTAAGCTAAGAGACCTCTACATCATAGGAGACTAACATTTTTTAATGTTTTCAATATCTGTCACATTAACAGACAAAAATAAAACAATGATATATAATAAAATATAGTGATTAAAGTTATGTAAAAATGTTCAAAGAAAAAAATTACATCATATTAGGATGAATCCACAACTACTGCAGTCCTTTCATATATTATTAAACCTACACTATATAGCCTTCACCAAATTAAAATTCCCAGACTCCTTCATTGGAATCTATAGTTTTTTTAATTGTATAAATTTGATGGATGTCTGCAATATGCCGGTAGTAGAGCAACTGCCTGTAACTTTCCAGTATTGTTTTTTTTAACTAAACTGCAATAATTGTTCAAAATGTGGTCCTTTTAAAATGAAAATTCAAATTAGATGCTAATCCTTATTGCGGGGATAAAGTTGTTTGAGGGGACTTTGACTACTGAAAAAAATAATTATAGAAAAAAAGATTAAATACCCTCCACTCTTGTTTCGAGATTGCTAAATCTGTTTCTTTTCTTTCTATTTTTTAAAGGCTTGTTTGGGGAAAATACTACATATAATTTTCATTATAATGGTTTGTCCTTCAGATATTTGAGTTAGTCAACCCAACTGATTGTTTTTTTAAAAAAAATCATACTAAATAACTAAAATATTTAAATATACAATAGTAAAAAAATGATTGTATCTAAGAGCAATTTCACCATTTTCACCACCCAAATTCTCGCAAGCAAAACATCTCAGGACATTTTATCCTCCTTTCCCCCAGTGCCCTTCTATGCCATGAGGTACAGTATTTATGGACTGTTCAATTGACCAATCATCGAGGACAAACGCCAGAAGCCAATCCATGTCCCTGCCATGTCTGTCTGTCTGTCTGTACATCCGTCCGTCCATCCATCCTTCCATCCATCCATCCATCCATCCATCCATCCATCCATCCATCCATCCATCCATCTATCTATCTATCTATCTATCTATCTATCTATCTATCATCTATTATCTATCTATCATCTGTCTATCATTATCTAACTAACAAAGCTCATAAAACATGAACTCATCTTAACCTATCACTCTAAGGAGCCAGGATAAGATACCGATGAAAAGCCATCAACCTCCAGACTCCAGCATTTTAATTAGATCACTGGGAAATATTTCCTCTATGCTGCTGGGTCAGAAATTAATTGGCATGTTTGTGAGAAATGTCTTTAAAATATTTGGGTGGCAGGGATCTCAGCCCCACAAATATTTAATCTTGGAGATATAATTAGCACTACAGTAATGACATCTTATAAAATTAACGTATTCTATATAAAAAGAGGTATTTAAAAATTGAAATTTAATATTTAAAGAAAAAATATTTCATAAAAAATCAACACAATGAAAAAAGTCAACTATATTTTTGAAAACCTTCCATTAAGTTATTTTCAGGAAACTTCAGTTCTCTAATGTAGCAAATAACTTCCACTGCAATTTTTTTCCAGGAATGTATAGTATTTTACACATGGTCAGTAAATAACCTTGAAATCTGTACCATTTTGTGCTATCTCCAGTCTTTTTGCTTGCCTGCTGCCACACTTCTGATATGTAGCACAAGACATGGGATTGTTGCTGAGTAGATTTCCAGATTTCCTGTGAATATCATTCAGATTTGCTCTCCTTTCCTTTTTCTCTCCAGTTCTTTTCCATTTTTGCATTTGCGACGTGTGGCAGCTACACTGGACAATTCCGCCTCAGCGTCAATTGTCCCAAGAAGAATGAGAGCAAACTCAATATAGAGGTGGAATTCGCCTACCCCTTCCGGTGAGTTAAGACTTAGTTGGGGCTGTTCAGTGAAGAAACTGTAAGGAAACTGCTGGTGGGCAAAGGTATACAGCCAAGATGCTGTTTATAGACAAGAACACAGCACATTCCAGAAGTAAGAAAGCCACCAACCAGTGGCCTGCACTTCTTGTTTTGATGGTTTATGTCCAACACTTGGTAGAACTTTGGGATTCACAAAATGCCAATCAGGGTCAAATTAGGTTACTACGTGGAAGACCATCAAGGAATGTTTGTAGGCAAGACTGGAAAGCCAACAAATATCCAAGAGGAAAGGAATGACAAACCACTACTTATTGCTGCCAAGAAAACAATAGGACACTGGAAGTAGGGTCAATACAAAGGGAATGTTATCTTTTCTGGATAACAGACAGAAGACACATTTGAACTCTTGATATACATGTGGATGGGTGGTGGATAGAGGCATGTTCATATGCATGTCTATGTGTGTGTGTGTGTGTGTGTGTGCTTTTCTAATAGTCATGCAGAGAATTCCAAGGAGTCCATTAGAGAGCATATGGTAATGGACCTCCACAATTATTAATCCTTAACTTGTTGCATTGAGGACTATACATACCCTGAACTTTGAAGATCCATCATCATGGGTAATAGTGACTGCGGCCATGAAGTAAATTCCATTACAAATGTAGCTAATCACTTTTTCATAATCAGGGTCTAATCCTGTGCCAGTAATCCTCATGCTTTTGTTTCTCCTGAAACTAGTTCTTAAGAAGAACGTGATTCGATTCAGTGTAACCAACGTTCACCCATACTGGCTGCCTTTCTTCTGTGAATTCCTGTTACAGATTCTTTTCTCTCTTCTCCAGGCTCCACCAGGTGTATTTTGATGCTCCTACCTGTAAAGGAGGTGAACAAGAAAAGGTTTTCTTGATTGGAGACTACTCTTCCTCTGCTGAATTCTTCGTCACCATTGCAGTCTTCGCCTTCCTTTATTCTTTAGCTGCGATTGTTGTCTACATCTTCATGCAGGATAAATATAGGGAGAACAACAAAGGTCCCATGGTTGTGAGTACAGTTATAGGATGATAGGATTGCACAAGCCATTTAAACACACATGTCATACCTGATACTAGCACCCTTTGAATTAGCCTTAGCAGGAATAGTTGCTTCTAAAGAGGACATCTAGAATGACAAACAGGCATTTGGAAAACCTTCCAAATCCTTTGGGAAGGGTCAAATGTTGGCCTCCATTAAATAATAACTTTACATTCAGGTTCTTCATGCCCCACCTGATTGAATAAACAGTGCCTTCTGAGTGCCCTGTTTTGTGCACCAAAATATTAGATGTTCATTAGGAACAGGAAGTTAATTGATGATAGCAGAAGTATGTTGAACAAAATAAATATTAAATGATGGGTTCTTTATTTTGAATACTGCCATAATACTATAGTCTAGCATGGGGGTCCTCAACCTTGGCAACTTTAAGACTTGTGGACTTCAACTCCCAGAATTCCTCAACCAGGACCCCTGGTCTAGCATATTACAGGTAGTCCTTGACTTACAATCAAAATTGAGCCCAACATTTCTATTGCTAAGCAAGACATTTGTTAAGTGAATTTGCCCCATTTTACGACCTTTCTTGCTACAGTTGTTAAATGAATCCCTGCAGTTATTAAGTTAGTAACATGGTTGTTAAGTGAATCTGCCTTCCCCATCGGTAGGTTGCAAAAGATGATCACATGATCTCAGGATACTGCAACTGTCATAAATATGAATCGGTTGCCAAACATTTTGAATTTTAATCACATGACCCATGGGGATGCTGCAACAGTTGTAAGTGTGGGAAATGGTCATAAGTCACTTTTTTCTGTGCCATTGTAACTTCCCATGGTCATTAAACTAACTGCTGTAAGTCGAGTACTACCTGTATATTTTTATCCCATTGCTGACCCATTGCAAGCACTAGTGTCAGATGGGGGCTCCTCCAAGGTTTGAGAAACTAATTTTTACTTACCACCGGGGTCTATTATTTCAAAATAGTGGCTTATCTAAGGCCGTCTAATGATCTTCCAGGTGAGGTGAGATTTAAACAATCAGCCAATTTAAAATCTTGGGCTTGAGTGACAGACCTGACGTGGCCATTGGGCTGCTGAACCTTCACTCTCATCCTATACCTGAGCTACAGATACTCGCCACTATCGCAAAAATCTTCTGCCTATGCTGAATTAAGGTTAGGGTTGCTGGGAAGGCATGGCAGGACCTAGGTTCTGGATTTCAAGAGAGGCTTATGATATTCACTGACGAGATCTCCAGAAGTTTATTCTTCTTCACACATTGGGTAATCGTTCCTGTAATCTCACTGGGCTTGTTTCTTCTTGCTGCAGGATTTCATTGTCACAGCTGTTTTTGTGTTCATGTGGTTGGTGAGCTCTTGCGCTTGGGCCAAGGGGCTTTCAGATGTCAAGGAGGCCACTGACCCAGATAATGTGATAGAAGGCATGTCCGTGTGTGAGGAACCAGAGGTCAAATGCAAGGAGGAATATGAGCCCATCACTTCTGGCCTCAACACCTCGGTGGTAGGTCCTCCAGCTTACTATCATAAGAATATAATAGGGTTTTCATATAGGGTCTATTCCTGGAGGCTGAACATGTATTTTATAATTGTGTTTCTTAGCTTTGTTTGACTATAGCTTCACAGTGTATGTTTTTTGTTTGTGTCTGTTTCCATGTGGGTCTGTTTTCTATATTTTCGAAGACTTCATTTGTACTTCTGCCTTTCAGTTCATGAACTCTGTACCAGGATGAGTTTGTTGTTTATGTGGATATGTTGGTGTTTTGTGCATCTTTAGTTGTTGGCTTGTAAAGATGCCTGTGTGTCTGAACTTGGGGTGATGTCTGCAGCAAGACATATGTGTATCTACTGGTGTCTTACAATGAGCCATTTTCAAGGGAATAACCTTAATTGTTGTGTTACACAAGTGTCACATTACCATTTGCTGGCCTAAATCAGATCTACTTGTTATCAAGTAAATCCCACAGTTCTGTTGTCTGACTCATAGCCAGACATAATCCTTTTGTTTCGGAATGCTACTAGATAAATTTTAATTGTGCAATCCACCCTGCCTCTTCCTTTGAATTTTGTGAAAGGCTCCAGGTGAGGTTATCTCCTGTTTATAGTCCTCTCGTATTTTCTCATCACTTTTTCTATCCTTCTTCATATGCACACATGCAGACGGCCATTAAGAAGGAAACACTCGTTCCACAGGACAGAATAAGTGGCTCCTCTCTTGAACTATTCCTGAAGCTGATTTTTAGAATGCCAGTTTGTTTTTGCCTATACAGCTACCCCATCCTGATTGTAAAACTGCTGCATTTTGTTTGCATAGCTATCCGTGACTAATCACTAATGACTAAGCAGAACTGCACACCTCAAAACAAGTGAGCTTTTTAAAATTGCTGTTGCAACCAGAGAACTTTTGAGGTCCTAGGGAGCATCTCGTAGGTTTTCCAATGAGATTAATGAAGATTAGTTTAAAACATAGTTTTATAAAAACTTAAAAAACATTAAAATTGACATTTTGTACAAAAGTGCTAATTGTTAGGTAATATTACATAGAAACTACAAGGCAATGTAAGCATTGAATAAAAGACTATAAACTTTTAAAAAGAAACCTAACCCATATGATCCGAAAAAAATGAAAAAGACCTGATACTAATTTATGTGGGGTGGGGTGAGGGAAGAAAAGTCAAAGGAGAAAAGAGCAGAGAAAACAAACAAAAAACACAACTAAACAAAATTAAAAGCTCAGTCCCCTACAAACCAAAATGCAATTTACTTCTAAACATATAGAGAATATACCATTTAAAGGAGAAGGAAAGGAAAACATATCAAACTATTCAAATAATATTACTTCAGTTTCATCATTATGATTCGGTTTTTGAACAATTTATTAAATCTAGGCCATTCAGAATCATATTGGCCCTTTTTAGCCTCCTCTTTAATACAAAGCCAGCCTTTAGAGTTTGGAACACAAGGGGCCTTCTATCAGTGCATAATTCCCTGAAACCCTAGTAACATTTAACCCCGTTAATCAATTACTATATGTTTTCAGCACAAAATCTTTGGATAGGCCTTTTAATCTGGAGGAGATAGGAAGGCATAGACAAATTCAACTATATTTATCTTACTCCAGTGGTTCTTAAACTGGGGATAATTATTCATAAGGGGGCAATTTGGGCCTATTCTAGGGTAATGGAACAATTTGTAATTTATTGTTTGTGAGTCGAGTTGTAAGTTTGGAACTATCCCTGTCCAGATGCTTGTATTAAACAACATTGTTTGTTTCTTTGTTTTATAGGGGAAATGACATTATTTGAGACCAGGGAAAGGGATACGGTAATTGCGCCAGTTTAAGTACTGTCTTATCCACTAAAAATCATGACCCTCCCCTGCACTTAAAGATAAAAGGGGGTGTGATGTTGTTTAAATGGGTGATCCCAGCATTTTTTTAAATTTTTTTTAGTGATTTGTGATTGCAGAAACTTTGAAAAAGATGTAGATATAAGCTAATTCAGAATGAGGACTTTCCTTTGCAGTTCTTCAGTCTTGCATCTTTCCCCAAAATACTATAAGAAAGAAAAATTGGCTAGTTGCACAATTGCTAGTTGCCTTTGTAGTGCTTTACTGCAGTCTCTATTCTCAGTGTGCAAGGGGGCACAACAGCTGCATAGAATAAGAGAGTTGGACGGGGCCATTTAGGCCATTAAGTGATTTTTTTTTCACTTCTTAAATTAAATTAAAATTAAAAGAGATTGAGACTTAGCTTTAAGGCAGTGTTTCTCCTGGTCCTATCAGGTGGCGGGGACCAAGAAACATGCCTTCTCTACCATATTATAGCCCCTGCCCTCTGGAACAGCCTCCCTGAAATTAGGATGGGCCTGACCCTGTTGGCCTCTCAGAAGGCCTATGTGCCTCAGGCTATGTGCCTGAGCCTGGGGTTCCAAGTCTATGAAGGCCCCTGTTTCCTGGTTATATTGACACTGATTATAATATTTCTTGGCTGCTTTTCGTGTTTAACCTCTTCTTTTGTACTGCATTTTAACTGTTTTTATTATTGTTTGCTGCTCAGAGTCACTGGTTTGAGATGGGCTTCTATACATAATAAACAAGCAAGCAAACAAGTAAATAGCCTTCCTGTAACGGAAAGTCATTATTTTCCATCTCTGGGATAATAAAGGACAAGTCATGATAATTTTCAATATGATGCATGGCTCCCCACAGTTATTATTCCTCAAGAAAAAAACATACGGTACCCACTTCCTTCCACCTAGTCCAGTACTGTTTTCTATTCCCTGGATAGTTTAGAATAGAATAGAGCTTGGAAGGGAGCTTGGAGGTCTTCCAGTCCAGCCCCCTGCTCATTTCAGACAAGTGACTGTCTAGCCTCTTCTTTAAAACCTCCAGAGATGGAGCTCCCGCGATTTCTGAGGGCAAGCTGTCGTCCTCACTGTTAGGAACTTTCTCCTTAATTCCAAATTGCTTCTCTCTTTGATCAGTTTCCAACCATTGTTTCCTGCCCTCTGGTGCTTTGGAGAATAGTTTGACGCCCTCTTCTTTGAGGCAGCCCCTCAAATACTGGAATACTGCTATCATGTCACCCCTGTTTCTTCTTTTCTTTAGACCACTAGCCAAACCTAAGTCCTGCAGCTGTTCTTCATATGTTTTAGTCCCCAGGCCTTTGATCATTTTAGTTGCTCTTCTCTGAACTTTTTCCAAAGTCTCAACATCTTTTTTGTAGTATGGTGACCAAAATTGGCTGCAGTATTCCAGGTGTGGTCTTACTAGGGTTTTATAAAGCGGTACTAATATTTCGCATGATCTTGATTATATGCCTCTGTTTATACAACCCAGGATTGTATTAGCTTTTTTGGCTGCTGCTGCACACTGCTGGCTCATATTCAAGTGACTGTTCACTAGGACTCTAAGGTCCCTCTCACAGTTGCTGTTTCTGAGCCAGGTCTCACCTAATCTGTACTTATACCTTTGGTTTTTCCTGCCTAAATGTAAAACTTTGCTTTTCTCCACATTGCTTTTCTCCACATTGTTGGATAGGGCCCATTGTTCAAGTTTGTCAAGATCTTTTTGGATCCTGAGCTTGTCTTCTGGGGTGTTGGCTATTCCTGCCAGTTTAGTGTCATCTGCAAATTTGATGAGTTCTCCTTCTATTCCCTCATCTAATTCACGTTGTTCATCCTGATACTCATTCTACTTTGTGGGAATCTTTCTTTGAATGTAGGATCCAAAACTGTACCTAGCCCTTGAGATACGTCTGACCATTGAAGAATGGAGCCATTATTCCTCAGCATTATTCTATGCTTGCTAGATTAGTGTGGTTCTTTTTGAATGCTCCATGCAGTGTTTTTAACAGGTAGGACTGTAGATCCCCAGCTCTTTCATCAACTTGTTTTCATGTTGTCCATAGGTTTTTGGCTTCCTGAACTTGGTGCTTTGGGTTGGAAACCTATGGTTTGTCTTTAAAGAGACTGGATGGAGTGCCCCCTTCATGAAGTACCCACCTGCCCAGGAGAAGCAGCCAGCACCTGAAACCTATGGAGATAGCTACAACCAAGCTCCAGGATATGGACAACAGGACACATATGGGCAGCAGAGTGGCTACCAGCCTGACTATAGCCAGCAAGGCTATGGTCAGCAGGGAGAATACGGCCAGCAAGGTGGCTATGTCCAAAGCGGGCCCACTTCCTTTGCAAACCAGATGTAGGCGGGTGAGTCATGGAAACATATGAAGAAATGGAATCCTGTAGTCCTTGCAGATCAATCCCATGTTATATGTGATAAGATTTTGCATGATAGGTTATGGTTCTGCTAGCCCCGTGGAGAAGCAAGGACTGATCCAAGGCTCTGCAGCCTGACCCCTTTGATCAAAGGAAATCTTATTTGGCTTTCTTCCCTCATGTTCAAATTTATAAGATTTCCACAGATATCGACAATGCCTGAGGACAAGCTTTTATCCAAAGTTCTCAGAAGATTGGATTCTAGATATGCTACCACAATCTACATTTTTTTGTCCTCTGGCAGGACCATGACATACATATAGATGTATGCAAATACATGAATGTTTTTTTTTTAATTGAGCAGTGTCAGAATTATACTGGCAGGTAAATTCTTCCATAGTTAATGCTGCTTATAAACGTTTCAGTAAATATAATGATAACAGTAGTTGAGTCCCAATTACCACACCTAATTAGAATATATATTTTCTTTATTCTAGATTTGCTTCAGCCCTAGTTACCCCAGTTTTGTGACATGCCTGCCCAACGGGGCCAAGTCCTCACAGTACCCTCACAGAGGACTATAAAATAAAATCCCCAGAACTTTCTAAACTCAAATAATTCTCAGAGGGGAAAAAAACACAAAAACTGGTTTAAAACCAATTATGTTGGAAGTATAGAGTCTATTTATATGTAGCATTATTTGGTACAGTTTTGTTATAGGGATGTTATAAGCTATATATGTGCTCTGTAGCAGCAAAGAACATTCACTGTTTATCTGAGCTTGTCTGCATGCCCTGCCATGTATCCTACAAATAAATGTGTAAGTTTTGTAGACATATGTATCTGCTAAGTGGACGTGGTGGCTCGCATAGTGATATCTATAGCTTCAGTTGATGTGAAGCAAGTAGTAACATCTGTACAGGTATGTGATAATTGGAAAATCTCTCCATTACTCATTGTGATATGTTAAGTCTTCATAACTGCCTTAGAATTAGCAGTGGTATACAAACTGATGGCGAGGGTCAACCTGTCTTATACACTGTACGCCTCATGCAAATAAGAGACCAGCATTAAGTAAACCAGGTAACATAGGTGGAGGAGTCCAATCCCAATAAAAAAAATCACAAGGAACATCTCTGTAGGAATCATTTATTGGCTTGGATTTTTGCTAATGTATTCGCAAACAAGCAGATTTTTTTTTAAAAAAAGAGAGAAATAAAAGAAAGCAGGGGGTTTTCTTTACATCTGCAGAGAAAGGAGCCAATAGCTGGAGGTGACAGAATGCTAGATAATGATTCTGAGAGGATGCTAACAAGATTCGTATCTCTTCGATGAAGTACAAAAGGCGGCTCCATTGAGAGACAGGAAACCAGTCCTAAGATTCAATATTATGCAGCATAGTTCTGCATAGTGGTTAGTAGGGTCTGTGGGAAGGGTCAAAATCTGCAAAATGGCAGGCATGGTATTGTGATCAAAGCTCTTCCCCTTGTATTTGCATTAATACAGTATAGCACCTCTGTACAAAAGGTCCAGGGGTTTGATCGTAACTCATTACCTAGCATCATTCTGACACATACATATACACACAGACTAAGGTTGTAACCTCAGGAGAGTTATGTCTGTGCAGAACTTTTTTAATAGTTCATACAGTATGTTCAGCCACATTATCATGGGCGAAGGTTTATCCTCTATATTTTTCATGCACTTCTTCTTCCATATCGTTTTGTCCCATGTTTTAGTTTTCACAATCCTGCATTTAGAGTTTGGGCTTGTTACCACAGATCCATGCCCAGAGAAGCCCCCCCCCCAAGTAGTGAAATAATTTAATCCATGACAGCATCTCACCACAGTTGCCCTTAGGTGCTACCTACACTAAAAGAAAATTAGTGTGGGTGTGTTCCCACAACATACTAAACCATAAACCGTGGGTTATCATCTAAAATTAAACAAGGTGTTGCATGAATCAGATTACTTAAGATGCTGTTTATTTGGTTTAGCATGTTATATGAACACAGCCTTTGTAATATGTTAATTATGCTTAGTAATCACAGTCCAACTGGTTAATTAGTTTTCAGCAGCAGTCCTGTCCCATTTCATATTTAATGGTACCCAGGGATAACTGAAAAGGTGTTAGCTAACCTGGTCACTAACCCAAGGGTGTTTAGCTTTAGCCTTAAATTCAGTCTTACAAAGATTAAACTATCTCCACTCCATAGTTGGCCAGGTTTTTAGTCTCTGCACAGCCATATAAGGAGTGAAAAATGAGGAGAAAAGGTGAGAAATCAGTCAAAGAAACAAAACAAAAAAAATCAATCATTTACCATTCTTTATCTTTTTTCCCCTCCCTATTTGTTGTGTGAAATAAGGGGGGAATGGCAGCTTCTCAGACACAATAATGAGTCTACTGTTTGGGAGAAGAGAGATTGGGTTGCTGGTGCTGTGAGGACAGCAATTAGGAATAAATTGCCATCAAAAAGTTGTGGAAAAGAAGGGAATAAGATCAATATCTGGGGTGTGAGAACTGAGTAGAGGAAATTTGCTAGTTTGCTTACTAGATACATTAACCCAAATGTTTCAAGTTCCTCTTGAACCGCAAACTTCATTTTGCAGTACCCGCTCTTACAAAATGTAGCTAAACTCTTTTTTCTTTCCAAGGGAAAAACATTTATGCTCTCCTCAGCTCATAGAATGAAGAAAGCACTTCTCTGTATCTATCTTCTAAGCAGTGATAGGCAACTTATGGCACTCTGGATGTTACTCAAACATAACTCCCAATATCCCTAGAAAGTATAGCCAGAGTAAGGACACTGGGACTAATGGTTGGGACCATATGGATGGCAACTGATTGCTTACCTCTGATAATATCACATATTTTTATAATAGGTGTAAGCAGGGCTTTTTTTCTCATAGAACGCCCAGAACGGAGTTCCGGCACCTTTTTTGGATGGAACCTTGTAGGGTAGGCAAGGCGGGTTGTATGACGTGTGTGAGTTCCGGCACCTTTTTTTTTTTTTTTTAGAAAAAAAGCACTGGGTGTAAGTATATAAACAAGAAAAAGTTCACTTTATATAATTATACAAAACTATATCACAATTCTGTAAAAACCTTTAAATTATATTGTGTGCAATTCATATCAACTGAATAGCAACTTATTCCCAGCCCAAGCTATATCAGGACCAGGATGCTAGAGTTTCCCCAATTAAAAGTGGGCGCTCCATCACTGGAGATTTTTAAGAAGAGGCTGGACAGTCACTTGTCTGAGATGGTTTAGGTTCTCCTGCTTGAGTAGGGGGCTGGACTAGAAGACCTCCAAGGTCCCTTCCAGATCTATTCTATTCTAACAAAATTGCCCAACTGATCAGGTACTCATGCTGCATCTGGTTTGTTTTGCCCTGCTAGCAAATTCCCAGAAGAATTGTAGTTAACAAAGCATCTAATTTCTTCTTACTTCATACCTAACTGCAAGGCAAGCAACAGTTTATGGAAAAGAAAGAAAACCGTTATCATTGATAAAACTGCATGTGGGAATTTGTACATTCCCTTTCCAGTGATATTATCCCATTGAGTGTTTCTTCCAGCTTGGCACTTCCTCACTCTGTGTGTGTGTGTTTTAAAGAGAAACTCTTTCTGCATCATATCTAATTTGGTCCTGAGAGTCAAAAGAGTAAGCACACATAATTTACAATAACAAAAAAATTGGCAGCGTATCAAGCTTCTTTAACAATAAAACCCAAATTGCATTAATCTTCCTGCTCTCCCACTGGTAATTTTAAGACTGTTGGGAAGAAAACCAAGTTTGTCTTCTTGGTTCTCAAGCCAGACAAAGCCTTCCCTTTCGGCCAGCTGAGGCATCCATCTCAGGCAGCACATTTCACCAGCCACATACGGACCGGAAATTCTACCTTTAATGCGAAATTATTGTATTTTAGTCCAAAGGTAAAAAGAGGGTTTCAAAGTAGGATAATCAACTGCGAAACCTGTGGTATGTATTTGTGTCCTTGGACAAGCAATTTGGCACAGGCATTATCACAGCCAGGTTATCGTGACTTCTCACAACCCAATCCGGTCAACCAACCTAAGCAGCTTGGGCTGGGAAAATCCCAGCACTGTAAACTTTCTTAACCACAGGTTTCAGAGCTGACAATCCTGAGCCACTCTGAAACCTTTTCCAAAGCATTTATAAGAAAGAGGAGGAGGAGGAGGAGGAGGAGCAGTATAATCGAGACTTGCAAGATTTTGTTATTACAGCCCATCTCAATAAAAGTAGTTCTAGTCTTTTGGTGGAGTTGATTTTCTCTTCTGGTGTGCTTTGTGGGGCTGACAGGCAGTGCCAGGCAGGCCCCATGGCAGACCCAGTGCTCATGGTCTCCTTGAGCCAAGAGAATTGCCAGAGGTGGCGATGGAGGATAACATCTGGCGGACTGCCATTGTTGTACTAGAGAGAGGTGCCTCTTTCTGCTGATTTCTGCTAGGATCTGGCTAAGACGTCTGCCTGTCCTTCTCTGCCATATCAGGATGTCCATCGATTGCAGGGTGATGTCACTCTTTCTGTGTTCATTTGGCTCTTTTTTTCTTCCTTTTCTCTCCACAGGTTCCTACCCCCAAATAGAAGGCGTTGTGAGACGGAAGCAGCCATCCCATCCTGGCTCCCCCATGTCCCTTGTGCGGGGGAAGGGAGGGCTGGTGGGTGCTCATACTGGGAGGTGGCTGGTGGAGCCCTCCCAACCCCCCAGGATGAATGTAGTTGTTTGTGCTGTTTATATATACATATATATTATATATATATGAGAAACTATAACTAGAGGTAGACCGCTCCCTCTCCCCCTGCCCCAATGCCTCATGCATAACACACTTTCCTACATCATTGCCCTCCCCAGGACAGTTTCTTGACCCTTGGCCTCCCCAGGCCTATCCCCTACACTCTCCAGCCAAAATGGGTTGTCGGATCTCCTCCTGAAGTACCCTTTCTCTCGCCATTCACTTTGAACCCCAGCCCATGCTTTCTGTATTGTGG